CAGATGTGCCATCAGAATGCTTATATGAATAAGAATCTGCCCCTGACCACCACTGTTTCGTTGAACACCAGGAGAAAGCAAGGGGATTCAAGATGGGTTTGTTGGCCAGATGATTAACAGTCTTAGTGTGTCTTGAGTGTTAAATCTGCTGGAAACCTACTGGAGAGTTACTTTTTGTCTAGATGACTCAGATCACCCTTACTGTTTTTCCATGCTGGCTTGTAACCTAGATCCCTCTATTTGAACATGGGAACTTGCCTGTTTTCACTGGAAGGCATTTTAAATGAGTGTGGGACCCTGGATTTATTATTTTTTGTTCTGTAGGTATGGCACACTCAGAAGTAGAACAATATTCCAATTTGTTACTAAATGAAACATGATTTCATTGCCACATAGGTTTCTGCAGATTGAAAGTCCATAAAGGCAGATTCTGGCTATTATTCCCCCTCACGTTTGATTATACTTGATTATTGGATTAGTTTTTTATAATTTCTGCTTGCTTTGCGTCCAGACTAAGGCTCTACACTCAGGAGTGAGTCACTTCTTTCATTTCATGTTTTCTCCCCCTTGGTCTATGCAATCCCTCTGGACTAAGTGCCTCTGGACTTGTTTATATTTTCTTCCTGCTTCCTTCCTAGGTTATAATTCCTGCAGAGTCACCCCTCCCTCTAAGAAGGACAATTGCTGTTCCACCCTCTCCCCCACCACAGTTTCCTAAAGATGTTTCAAAGGCTGCCTCTGTCAAGGCTGCCTTCTCTCCTCCTCTCCCTCACCCTCCGCCGCCACCTCCTCCCTTGCCGCCGCCACCACCGCCATCTGTGCACGTCCCCCAGCTGCGCTATGTGCCATCAGCTCCACCTCCTCACCCTCTGCTCCAGTGGGAAATGCTTCTGGAGGAATGCCCCCCTTCCCAGGCACAGATCCCAGCAGAACCAGTTGAAGTGGCCTCTCCTCCCAAGATGGTGGTGTCAGTTGGTTGTCAAACGGATGAAGATTCATTCTTCCCACCAGAACAGGCATGGCCTCCTTTCTTTGGGCTCCTGACTTACTAGAATAGTGCCAATGTGAGCCCAGCAGATACAAGGTTGTTCATTTGCGGGGGGGTCCTCCTCTTAGACTGAATGTTTGGGCATAAGCTTATTCTGAGCTCACAGGGAAGAGCAACTATTTGGATGCTCAGGACAGAAAACACATTTTAGCTTTCATAGTGGTGCTAAGTACACATGAGTATACAGTGGTGCCCCGCAAGACGAATGCCTCGCAAGACGGAAAAACCGCTAGACGAAAGGGTTTTCCGTTTTGAAGTTGCTTCGCAGGACGAATTCCCCTATGGGCTTGCTTCGCAAGACGAAAATACCTTGCGAGTCTTGAGATTTTTTTCGCTTCCCCTTTATCTAATCTGCTAAGCCTTTAATAGCCTTTAATAGCCTTTTAGCAGCTAATCCCCTAAGCCTTTAAGCCTTTAATAGCCGCTAAACCGCTAATAGCGCTAATAGCGCTAATCCGTCAATGGGCTTGCTTCGCAAGACGAAAAAACCGCTAGACGAAGACTCTCGCGGAACGGATTAATTTCGTCTTGCGAGGCACCACTGTACTCTGCCATGTGTGCGGAGTTGGGAGTAGTGCCACAAATGGAATAGTGCATGGCCCACATTGCGGGCAGCGGTTGGGTGAAGACTGAGCTAGATGCACGAAGCGGTCTGTGTAAGGCAGCTTACTATGTGTCTCTCTGTGGCTCGTAGAAACTTATTGCCTTCGTGAGCTGTTCAAGGGTTTTTGGGAGCACCTGAGCTTTTCCTACGAATCCTCATGCTCCACGGTTTTCGTATGGTTGCATACTTGCTCCATGCTGGTGTTTTTATTTTTAAAGTGCTGCAGAACCACCTGTATGCCACATAGCTGAGTGCTCAACTTTCTCCATCAAGTGGCAATGATCAGTTCCAGTTCACTGTAGAAAAAAGGCTGCACACAGGTTATGTGCAGTAAACTCACCTTATGTATAAAGTCGAGATAGACTTTCCTTATCTCACACACCTTTGTAATACATTAAATGGACAGCCATTATTTCCATTTTACAGATGTGAAGGTTTGGACTTTAGCCCTTCATGACTTAGCTAGGACTGGGGTGCAGGACTTTCCCTGAATCCACATCCAGTGGCTTTTCTACTGGCTTTCTCACATCACTGCAGCTTTCAGCCTGCTAGCACTCACTGTGAATTATGCTTTTCAGGTCTCATATGCTCCACCTCCGGAATGGGGCTCCCAAGTTCTTGCCGTTCGTCCTCCCACTCCTGAGAAGGCAGGGCATCCTCTCTCTCTTTTTTTCTGTAGCATGGTGTGTGGGAAACACTTCTCTTGGCATAGATTTGATTCTTGCATTGGTAGAATTGCAAGTTTTCCGCAGAAATGCAATTTGGTGCTTTTTCCTTAGGCTCAGCCTGTTTGTTTCTAATTAGCATTGGGAAGTGACAGTAGGTCTTTTAAAACCAGCATGATTTTTGAGAGCTTGTGGCATGACCTTTTCAAGGATGTGAGTTTAGTGGCTGGAGAATGGGAGAAGAAGCAACAAACGTTCATGCAGTTAACCAAGTAAAAAGTATGAATGTCTTCCCAGCATGTATTGAGCGAGGCATTTTTAAACAAGGTATCAAATGCTCAAATATATTTAACAATCCCAGTGAAGAGAATATATGTTTTTTAGGACTTGTCCTTTATTTTTTGCTGTGTTGCTTGAACATATGTATGTCACCGGAATAAAGTAGAATCATTTTCTGGGAGAACTGCATGCTGTGCCCCATTCTTATCAATCACCAGTCACCTGTGATGAGTAAAAACTGACCACAGGTTAACCAAGCAGGAAAAGACATACAAAATCTGGCTTACTCTGTCTTCTTTCAGGCCATGACTAACTAACATGTGTGATCAGGTGGGCTAGTAAAAAACAAACGAACAGACTACTAATATTTGCAGACTTGCATGTAAACCTGTCATTCTAACCAAGTCAGTAAAAAGTTCAGGGGGAATAGTTTGAAAACATTTTATACAGCAACCGTTTTGAAGCTAAGCAGGTCTGAGCCCAATCAGTGTCTTGATGGGAGACTTGTATTTACAGCATCTTGATTTCATTCATGGAAGAATATGGTGTAGTGCTTAGAGTGTTGGGCTAGGAGCTGGCAGACTAGGGTTGAAATCCCCACCCACTCATGAAGCTCACTGCGTGACCGTCGGTCTGTCACAATTTCTTAGCCTGACCTACCTCACAGGGTTATTGTGAGTACAAAATGGGGCAGGGGATGCGTGTCGTACCTTGAGCTCCCTGGAGGAAAAGTTAGATAGCCAATATAATCAGTGAATAATAAATGTGGAATACAAATATAATAAATAAAAGTTCTGCTATGTAAATGACTAATACCTACTCTGTGTCCTTTGGCATCACACAGAGCAGCCTTCACCAACCTGATGTTCTCTAGATGCTTGATTAATTTATTTGTTTTATTAAATTTATATGCTGCCCCTTTCCCCCGAAGTAGCAAACACTTTCCGTAATAAGAATACAATTAAAAATAAAATAAAACCACATTTAAAAATTGGTAAAAACAATTAAACATCAGAAGCAAATTCAAGAGATGATGGGAGTTGTAGCTCAATGGCATCTGGAGGGCCCAAAGCTTCCCCATCTCTGCTTTAACCCTAGAAACGCATAGTGAAGTTAGTGTGTACATGTGCGAGGATCAAAGGCTCTTGTAAGTGTGAGGTGTGACTTGTAAAACAGCACACACATCCCATCTGCCAACCGTCCCTACACCCCATGTGTTAATTGGAACAGAAGGACTTACACCAATAGAAAATTAAAAATTTTTGGACATGAAACTGCCTACAGAGGTATAATCCCGAACCATGACACCCCACCAGGGTGTACATTTACGAACTCAAAGCTTCGTTGTAAATCATTGCCAGGGTACCCAGGAAAATGATGTATTCCTGGAAGTTCACCACTTGGTTCCCATTGCAGTCCAGATCTTTTATTAATGCCTGTATCTCTGCATCCTGCAATTTCGGTCCAATGGTGAGCTCCTTCTGTATCAGCTCCTTCAATTCGTTCTTGCTTAGGGTGTTCTTATTGCCATCCTTGCTGGCGTAATTGTGGAAGGTGACAACCAGCATGCCAGTAGCTTGGTCAAGAGGTGCTGCCATGGTGAGAGATCAGAAGCAAGATGGCCCAGTGCTGAGTGGCAGGAAGAGAAGTGGTCCACCAATAGACTGTGTTATAATCAAAAGTACACTGTGGTGTAACATCTCACGATCTTAAACCAAGTCACACATTCCTTTGGCTGATGTTAGAGCTGGAATTGTCATTGTGTGGATGTCTTGCATATTGTGACACTGGCAGAGAAATCTAATTTAGGAATACGGTTTTATTGTGTTTACCTTGGGAAACTTGAAAGCACACTCTGAGCTCACACAGCCTTCCCATTTTCATTAATCTGTCTATGGGAAGAGCCTTTTCTTGTGACTACCTAATCCATGGGTCTGTTGATTCGAGGAGACTTGCTCTGACAAAACTGCTGGAAACCATTCATCCTAGCCTTCACTGTGATCCCTTCACCAGCTTCTGCAATTACACTGTCCTTCCTGTTATATGTTAATGGAGGCAGGAGGTGGCTCAGCGAACTTCCACAGGGAGAGAAGAACTCTAGCATGGTTCTTAACTTTAATAGTCTCTGCTTTGACTCTCTGTTGTTGCAGTTCATGTCCCAAGGGAAAGGTGGGAACAACTACCCATCCACGACTTCTCCAAAGCCTGGCAGCCAGTTGGATAGCATGCTCGGAAGCCTCCAGTCAGACTTGCATAAACTCGGGGTAGCAACGGTTGCCAAAGGTGTATGTGGAGCCTGCAAGAAGCCAATTGCTGGACAGGTGAGTCTGAAGGACAACCCCCACTTGTTGAGAGTCTCAAGCTACAACTGGGAGGGCTTTAAAAAATCATATGGATGAACGGACTGGCGATGCTGAAGAAACTGAAGTACTCTATTTATCCACTGGCTAGGTACGCTGTAAGCTCCTCCAGTGACCTCTACCCTGCCCATGAGGGACTGCCCTCTTCTGAGATGATAGGTAATTCAGTTTTCATGCTACCCCAGTCCAGGGATCCACCTGTTAGTAGAACGTTCTCTCTCATTTGTTCTAGACTCTGTGCTTTTTGATGTCTTTGTCACATATACGATGCCCATACTTGAGAGGTGGAGCATCTGCTGGAGCCAGGACCGTTTTTTCCTCTCTCTTTCCCAGGTTGTCACGGCGATGGGGAAGACTTGGCACCCTGAACACTTTGTCTGCACCCACTGCCAGGAGGAGATAGGATCGCGCAACTTCTTTGAGCGTGACGGCCAGCCCTACTGCGAGAAGGACTATCACAACCTCTTCTCTCCTCGCTGCTACTACTGCAACGGTCCTATCCTGGATGTGAGTCCATGGCGTTTATGCCGTCTTATTCCTCTGGCTGTCCAGCCTTACACTTTCTACCTTACCAATCCCATAGCTATGCACACATTTCATTTGCTTGTGCAGTGGGTGCCAGTAATCCCACCCTAGTCACTGTGGTTTAGAAAATTAAATCACAGTGGGGGGTTTCGGCCCACCTCCAGCATGTAGGTCTCCTCTGCATCCAGCCCAACAGGCTCTCCACAGGCCCTGCCCATACCCCCATGCTGCTGAACTGCAGTTTCTAATCAGCTGAGTAGCGGGGTTGGGGTTCATGGGGGAGGATACATTGAAACCTCCCTTCCTCAGAGTCTTCCCCCAATCCTTGTGCTGGCCATCTGATCAGGGATTAATTTCTCCATTGCTGAGCTGTAATCTTGTAAATTCTGATCTCTGTGTGCATATAAGATCACAAGGCGAGAAGGTTTAGAGTATTTATTTTATTACTACTTTTCTACCCCAACCTTTCCTCCAAGGAGTTAAAGGTGGCATACACAGTTCTCCCCTTCCTGTCCTTAAAACAATGGTGTGAGGTAGGTTAGACCAGGGGTCCCCAAACTAAGGCTCACAGGCTGGATAAGGCCTGAGGGACTTGTTTATCTGGCCTGTGGTGAACCCCGCCACTCGCTCTTTCCGGTGCTGCACTGCGCGGCTGCCAACTTCCATGTCGGAGGAGCACCGGAAATAGCTTGAGCGCATGCATAAGCGTTATTTGTGTATGCGCAAGCATTATTTCTGGTGTACATCCGGGTCAGAGGAGGCCCGTGCACTTGCGCACAAGCTATTTCCGGTGCTCCTCTGACTCAGAAGTGCACCGGAAACAGGGTGTGTGCATGCGCTCCTCCACTCTCCGGCCCACTGTGCGATCAGCGCTAGAGACACCGGCCCAAGGTGCAGTGAGTTTGCTGACCCCTGGGTTAGACTGTGACCGAATGACTGGCCCAAGGTCACCCAGTTGCCTTCATGGCTGAGTGGGGATTTGAACCTAGTTCTACACTCTAACCACACCAGTGCACTGACTGGTGGAGTGAGCTGCTCATGGAGGAAGAGATTGCTTTCTTAATGGGTTGCTTGCTATGTATCATTTATCTGTTTAACTTTTATAATGCTTTATATTTCAACCGAAATACCTGTCCGCATCCCAACAAAAATAACATTTTAAAAAATACAATACAAATTCTGCATTCCGTAGTAAATACAGTGCTACTGTTACTGCCTCTTTCTCATTGCACAGCACAGAAATGAAGTGAACTGGGTGTGTGAATGAATGGGGAGAGTGTGTGTGCATGTGGATGTGCTTGTACCATTATACATGCAGTCCCTGGCTACTTTCCCCAAGGGAATATGGCCTTTGGGCTGCTGGGAGGGTGGAACTCTTCACCCTTGCCTGTATACATGCATGGGCTTCCCTTAAAATGGCCAGTGAGCTCCTAGCAACCTCATGGGTTCATGTTATCAACATTGCTGCATCACTTTCCACATTTATTTACACGTGGCTACTTTTCGTATGATATAGAAATGCTCTAGTCAGACACAACTAGAGGCTGGCAACACACACATTGGGAACAGCAAGTCTAGGAGTTAGACGCCCCCATGTGGCAGGTTGAGTGACACCATTCTAGTGTTAGCTTGGGTGTTAGCGATGGGATCCCCCCTCATTGTCCTCGGTTCTCGAACGTAATTCGTTCTGGAAGACCATTCGAGTTTCGAAACGTTTGAAAACCGAGGCGCAAAGGGGTGCCTGCAACTTCAATTGAGAAAATTGAAAAACATGCAGCAGAAGTCGTTTGACTTCCGGGGTGCGTTTGAAAATGGAAGCATTTACTTCCGGGTTTTTGGCGTTCGGGTTCTGAAATGTTTGTTAATGGAGGCATTCGAGGTACTACTGTATGTGAAACAGCTGGATTCTGTAAATATAATAAATTGAGATGATCCGTCAAAACGAAGTGAGGGAAGTGAGATTAAATAACCATAGAATCCCATATATGTCTCTCTCCCCACCTCACCCGCCAGTCTCATCAGAAGGAGCATAGGAGCCTTATGCTAGGTCAAACCACTGGTTCATCTAGCTCAGCACTGCTACATTGAGTGGCAGCAGCTTTCCAGAGTTTCAGGCAGGGGATACTTGCAGCCCTTCCTGACCAGGGATTGAACTTGTGCACTCTTGAGTGCAAAGCTGGTGCTATGCCACTGAGCTATGGAAAAGGCCCCCTCTCCCTTAGGACTGCCAATTTTACTGGCACTGAACTAGGGTTCAGAGTGGACACTGCACAGAAGATGCCGCTTAGTTAAATTGCCACATCCCTCACCTACTTGCAAGATGCAATTCTCTACATTCCTAGTGGTGATGCTCATGCCCTTCGGTTTGTCGGTTCCGCTCTGCCACCAAGAAACCAGTCTTGGTGGAGGGAGTGGCATAGCTTGACAGGAAAGCAGGCAGGAAAATCCTGAGGAATCTCAGTATCAATCCAGGGTAAAAAGTAAAGGGTTCCCTTGCAACTTCTTAGGCTGTAATTCGGACATATTTTGCCCAAGGGTGTGCAAAATATGGAAAACTAGAATTGATTCATAACAACAGGCTTTGATTGTATCCTTGGCCATATTTGCAGATTTTAGATGCCACATTAAACACAACAACTGATGTATTGAAAAACTGCAGCGGGATAAGGAGAGGGATCAATTATATCCCCAATTTTGTGCTTGAAGGGAGGAGAAGAGCTTTGTTCACCTACATCTTTGCACTCCATTCTCTTTTTCTTCGTTTTATCCTTCATTTCTGCCTTAGTGTACTGTTTCATCTGTTTGCTTTCTACATGGGTGGGGCCCATGAGCAGACAGACCACAGCTATCAGCCAGTTAACCTCTGTACACATCTCAGGGTGTCTATCCGTCTGCTGGGGAGTTCATTGACCTTCCAAAGGCAACAGGAGAGAGATTGAGATCGGAAAGGCATGTTCATGAAATTCTGGGCTTAATCCATCCAGAGAATCTCATTATTGGGATTTTAGTAGTCCAGTTTCCCGGGGTCAGAGGATTCCTCCCTTCCTCTCCTTGAAATGCTGTCTTGTCTTATCTACTATCTGTGTCCCCTCACCGTGTTTCCTTGCAATTTTTTTTAAAATAAAGTTTTGGCTACTCATTCATGGTTTATGGTTTCTTTATATCAGAAAGTGGTGACAGCGCTGGATAGGACATGGCACCCAGAGCATTTCTTCTGTGCCCAGTGCGGAGCATTCTTCGGCCCAGAAGGTATGGTCCCTGAGGGCTGATCCACAGCTTGCATGGCTTGCTTATTTTCAGATGTTTAAACTGTTTCCAAGGTATTGAGCTTGAGGTCTTGTGAGCTGACATTCAAGTGCTGCAAATGGAATTTCAGCTCAGATTTGCCATTTCTCCCATGCAAGTCATTACTTCATGTTGCAGACACTGGCAGTAATGGGCATACATAAATAAGCTTAGCACAGGCAATCCTCCCCCTGACATTCAGATTGCATAGACTCGTGTAGCCATGCTCTCCAGGAAGTGGAAGTGTAGTGTAACAGCACTGTTCTCAGCCCCAATAGGCTTCTTCTTTGGTAAGTCCAATCCTGTTCATGTTTACGTGGAAGCAAGCCCAACCCCATTCAGCAGGGCTTACTCCCAGGGAAATGCACACCAGATTGCACATTTGCAGTTGCCTGATGATGAAGAGTGTTGATTCCAGCTTTGATGGTCCTCTCCATTTCTTAGGATCTTTTGGTGATGCCTTTCTTTTATGTCTAGGCTTTTATTTTTGTTTATTATTTTTTTCTTCTTTCCCCCCTTTCTGTCCCCCCACCAATTTTTTATTACATACAAATATGTGTAATTTTTAAACGGCTGTTTCTGTTTATGACAACAGTAATTTTGGGGTGTAAATTTGCTCATTTTTATCGAATGTTTTCTATGTTTTTTTGAGTGCTACATTCAGATCTGGAAAAACATTTTATAAATTCCTAAAATAAAAAGGCCAGGCAAATACTAATTTTCTTCTTTCCTTTTTTGCTGCTTACTCCTCTGCCCTGGCAGGTTTTCACGAGAAGGACGGCAAGGCCTACTGTCGCAAGGATTACTTTGACATGTTTGCTCCTAAGTGTGGAGGCTGTGCCCGGGCTATCTTGGAAAACTATATCTCTGCCTTGAATACCCTTTGGCACCCTGAATGTTTTGTCTGTCGGGTAAGAGCACTTCAGGAATTCATTCCCCTTCCTTTCCATTCAGCCAGCTGAGGACATCTATCATCCTGACCAGTCTTGGTGTAATTTATGGGTCACCAATGCAGTGCTCTCAGGCACACAAGTGCCAGCGGAGGCCTTTCTTGGTGCCCACAGGGTTCCTTCTTTCTCCTACTGAAATTATGCTTGTAAGTAGCCTTTCATTGCAGACAATAGGAGGCTTTAAAAAAACTTAATTGCTGGTGGTAGGAGAAGATGAGTGTGCATGGTTGCATTGAGTGTGCATATGTGTGTGCATGGTTGCAGTGCATGATGCTCACAACAGTTTCTCCAGTTTGCAAATATGCCTGAGGGGTTGGAAAGCTTGGAAACCCTAGAGGGCTCTGAAGCAGGAGGATGAGTGCATCCACAAGTGCCTATCTCTAACAGCAAAAACGATACCTTATTCCATCAGTGTGACAGTACTGTACTTTGGAACT